AAAACCGAAATATTCAGCATAAGTTTCCTTAACAAAGTCTGTGATATTTCTTTTTTGTTTTTTTGATATATAAATACCACAAATATAACAGAATAAATCACTACTATATTTGCACTTCCTTCGTGACAAACTCATGTTTAAAAAGACAAGATAAATATATTAGAACGGACACTCAACAATTGAAACAAAATATTAACATATAACAACTTATCCAGATTTCCGTGTTAGTACTTCAATGTTATCAAATAACTGAGTTCTCATCTGTTTTGCAGAGCAAGGAGCCCGAGAAGTGGGGATCACGTGATGTTTGTACGCGCAAAGAAGTTGCGCAGAAGCCTAATCACGACTGAGAAAATAAATTTTTTTTACAAACAAGCCGATTATTATTTAAAATACAAGATACGTAAAAATCATAAAAAATAGAGCACATTCAGTACCTACTTTCATAAATATATTCGTAATTTAGGCACTCGAAAACGTAAAAATTTGCAAAAATATCCAGGGCAACACAAAAAAAATATTTTTTTGTAAAGCTGTGTAGATAATTATGAAATGCTCATTGGGCGCTTTCAAACATCGATGGCTAATGACGCCCCAGACTACTGCGTCAATTAACGCCCTGAAATTAAGTACAACATTTTAGCTTAAACATGAATGAGATCAGTAATCAACTGATTATTATATCCTAAGAACTATTCTCAGTATCAGAATCAGTCTTACAATCCTTTGGAATTTTGATACGTTTTATATTTATTCATTTATGATACACATGAATTTTTGCCTTGTATAAATGCGCCCACTTAAGAATAATAGCGCCCATACAGGCTATTAACGCCCAAACCTCAAAAAATTAGAAATGTAAATTATAGAAAATAAACTAAAACTTTCGAATTTATCGGAGTATTTTTTATAATAACACCGTGCACTATCGGCATCCTTGAGGTGTTGTTCGCAACTGAGTATTTGGTGGCGTGAGCCGCGCTGCGTCGCGTCCGCGCGTTCCTATTGGTTTATTCTATGTGTGTGTAAAGTGTAACATAACTCGTGCAGCTTTAACTCCGATTTTTAGCATTCGGGCGTTATTACACATTGGACGTTAAATGCCATACCTACTTTATAATTTCTAAAATTACGTCAACAGACAATGGAAATGACCACCCACCACCGATTTTGATATCAACATTTTTGAATATCTCAGCCAAATGAGACGGTTAATTAGAGTTGAGGCTAGATAAAGTTCGAGTTGCGCTTAGCGATCGATTTCAAACAATTGTTATGGAAATAGTTACTAGGATTTACATAAAGATACATAGAGTCTGGTGTTCAACGGATTTCCTTTCGTTTTGTTAAAAACTCTCGACGCGAGAAATGACTTTGTTCACATGTTCATAGATGGAACAAGAATCGTTTTTAAATGTAAACATTGTCGTGCCACAGTATTTTTCGTGCGCTCAGCGCCTCTTCAAATGGAGTCTCGAAGCACAGCAGAAAATACTATACCATCGCATTTCTATAGTATTTCCTTTGTATATGGGCTATATACAAAAGTATTTCTATGCATATTGGTTCAGAGTGTTCAGACTGATTAACGTAAGGTTTGGTTTGAATTGAATTCAGCGTAGGTTAGGTTATTGGTTTTCTTTTCCAGCGTTTTTCGTTCTCAACTTAATTTGAAATAATATATTCATGAACTCTTTATAAAGCAATAATGCCAAAATTTCACTAATATGACAATCTCCGATAATGAACATTAAAAAAAATATTCAAATTTCATGTTTACTTCGTATGTTGATACAGATGATTAGAGATTAAATCGGGTTAGTCTAGGTTTAAGTAATCAGCTCAATGAGCGATTTTGATATAAATCGTCCACACAAGAAGGTTTTTCCTTCAACAGATCCGATCTATTTTTTAATGCCCAGTATGAGGAATCAGTTTACTTCATTTTCACTATATAGATAATATAGGTTTGACTTACATTCATCATAAAAACCATAAATTCTGTTAATCGAGGCACATTCGTGATTACCCCGAAGCAGAAAAAAGTTTTCTGGATATTTGATTTTGTATGCAAGTAATAGGCAAATGGTTTCTAGAGATTGTTTTCCACGATCTACGTAGTCTCCTAAAAACAGATAATTTGCCTCTGGTGGAAAGCCTCCATATTCGAAAAGACGTAATAAATCCGTATACTGCCCATGAATATCACCACAAATTTTAAGGGGAGCCTCCAGTTCAAGAAGTATTGGTTGTTGTAGGAATATTTCTCGAGACTTCAAACACAGTCCTCTCACTTCAGCTTCAGTCATGTGTACAGATTTTCCTGGACGACATCCTCTAACTAAAAAAAATAACATCATTTAGCTGATGTAGGTAGAAAATGATTTTGGTTTATACTATTGATAATATACTTAGATAGATAGATAGATAATTTATTGGTGTTTTATCCATTCATCAGTATTTACACAAGTCAATATGTACATATAATTGAAATTAGTATATGTCAGGCATCTATTAATATTTACATAAACAATAGATGCTTACAATTCATAGAACAACTTTTTTTCTTTTCTAATAAAAAATATTTATATCTTGTAAGTATATCTGAGTTATGACGACGAGCACATTTGAAAACAAAGCAGTAAAATTTAAAATTGGGCATTTTCAAACAACGACAAATGCCTATATGGTTAAGGAACTTATATCACAGTGCAGGAATTCTTCGGTGCTGAAGAAGGCGTTTTTCATTAAAAAACATTTTATCCTGATTTTGAATATGTTAATAGGTAGAAATCTTATTTTTTGTGGTAATTTATTGAAAAATTTCACAGACCAAAAATTTGGTCCATTTTTACATCTTTTTAAGCGGCAGTAGTTTGTACTCAAATCATTTTTATGCCTAGTGTTGTAGTCGTGCACATTTTCAAAACTTTCATACTGAGATAGNTAGCGGAGGAATTTCGCGAAGCAGTGTTCTCATTCTGTCATGAGAACTGTCCACTGAGGTTTAAAATAGATAACCATAACTCTTCTTGTTACCTACTGTATTACCTATTTATTACTCCGATATTAAGACATTTATGAATGCTTTGAGATAAATGTTTTATAGATGAGCTACAAATTTTGCCATGATCAAATATCACTTTTAAGTGCAAAAGAGCTCAAACAAATATTATGTCTAAAACTCCAATTAATGTGTGTTCAAATGCTACCAAATTATCAAATATGTGTGATATTTTAACTGCAGTGAATGTGAATCAAGAAATAAATTTCGAGCACATTATAAGCAATTTTGGAATCAAACGTTGATGTATGTTATCTTTTTTTTTTTTAATTTCCATGTTGTATCCATGTCATGTTTTGTTTGTTGTAACACTGTTACTATATATACTACTTACTATATTGTATTTGCTATCCTTTGAAAATTGCCTTGTAAATGGTTTCTGTTGGGCAATAAATGGTATATTATTATTATCAATAAATTATTTTTCAAGCAAGTAACGTTCATGTTACTGTCATGGTAGTTATTATAAAATTTCCAAAGTGTTACAAAAGTTATAATCATCAAGATACTTGTAATAAAAACTCGACAATAATTACTCAAAATGAAACGTTCTTATTTTAGTGAAAATTAATCTACCAAAGGAAACAAGTAATTACGTGCTGGTTAATTTGCATTTACACAAGTAAAAAGGAATGAAATATTTACATAACTGGGGCATAGCATACCAATTACATGGAGTATTTAAAAATGAATCCAAAGGGAACGTTTCATTATCTTGATTAGATCACATCAACATTGTATTATTGATGTTGAAGTTCATATTGAAGTCTGTCTAACTATGGATTGTTTCATATATATTATTAACGTGGTTCTGTAATTGATACTTACCTATAGATATTATCGGCAAAATAGAAGTGTTATAATCGAATACATTTCTTGTTTCGACCTTTTCGTTGTATTCTGTTGATTTTCGTTAGGTACGTTAAAGTTTTTCTTGAATTTCAAGACGTATTCCGTGAAAATATTTCCTATCTAATGAGGTTTTGTTTATAACTTCGTCAGAATGAATTGACAATGAATTGCTTCGTGACTGCTATAGATATGAAACATACCGATTCAAATAATGGCGGAATATTATACTATACTATATTTCCTGCCATACTATACTGAAAGAAAATTATATCAAGATATAATAAAATTTGATAAACCTGAAAAATATATATGGTCCCGTTCAAACAAGTGAAGCTTCCATTTGATTCATCCATTTTAGGTTCAACAGTTTCGTATCTGGTGTAGTTTAATATGGAGTTAAATATAGGTATACCTCAAGGTTTCTGATTTTTACAAACTAGCCTTCCGTATCTTGAACAGACTGTATATAAATGAAACGAAAAATTAAATCCGCCCTTCAAGAGATAAATTCGCTTGAACACAATTATTTCAACTGTTTTTTATGTAGATCATGCAATTTGGAATGGCAGAAAGAAAGAAAAAAAGGAGATATGAGTGATCGAGAAAGAGAGAGCAAAAAAGATAGAGAGACAGAAAAAGTGATAGAGAAAATGAGAGGAAAGGAAGAAGACGTTAATTTGTTTTTGTTCATAACATGATAGCGTTCTATATCATGAACTTGAGTGAGGGGGAAAGTATTTTCTTCAAAAAAATAGTTGTTGCTTCACTGTTCACTTCTGATGAAAAATTGAAAAATCAGTAGATGAACGTAATAAACAGAACTCACGAAGTCAAAAATTGCCAAAGGATTGAAGTGTAAATATGTAGGAATTTTATATTGTTCCACCAATATTTTTTCAAAAAGATATAAGTCTCACACTAAAGCTACTCCTACTAAAATGAATAAAAATGAGAAGAGAAGTGATACATAAAAAGTAGACTATACAGGGTGTCAATTCTAAAATTCCATACCCTTGATATCTTCCTTCCAGTAAATAACGCGAGGAATCGAAAAAATAGGTCAATTTTATTGTCAAGGGGACACTTTCACGGACTATTTCTACCCCTCGTGGTTCAACCCCCAAGAAGGGGTATGTGTTACCCTTAGAATTTTAAATGAGAAGGGGTGCTAACAGGCACATCATTTTGATTGACGTTGTTCAATTCTGCTTCTGATACCCTGATGTTTTATTTTTTGATGATCAGTTTCCGAAAAATAGCGTTCTAAACTTACATTTATATGTAATTAGAATTTGCCTGTTATGAGATGCATTATAGTATTGACCCATTTTAATAAAAATGGTTAGAAGAGTAGGTGGCACCGTTCCTCCTCTTGAATGACAGGAATGAATGTATTAAGCGTGAGATTTTTTTATTTGTAGGTTATTGTACTTTTACAAAATAGATTTTAATATGCGAGAAAGACATTTCAAACATAAAATCTATTATGGCTCATCTTATAAACTGTTCGAAATGTCGTCCATTTTGCTCTTAACAGTAATAAAATATGTTTTTTAACTTCCCTCTAACATTACGGAAAACTTCACTAGGAATTGACTGGCAAGCTGCTAAAATTCATCTAAGTTCTTCAATATCAGAAGGTTGTTTTATAAACAACAGATTCAAGATGCCCACGAGAAAAAAATCTAAGGGTGTTAAATCCGGTGATCTCGGAGGCCAATCAACTGCTCCTCTTCTGTCAATCTATCTATCCAGACACCTTTTGTTTAACCACTGTTGGACGGGAAGAAAATGATGAGGTGGAGCAGCGTCCTGCTGGTAATGTAACAGATACTTCTGCAAAAGTTCATTACCTTCTGCATCCATTTGAGTTTGTAGCTCGAGAGTTATAAAAGGATCGATAGCCTCTTCAAGAATTTCAAGGTACAGACTGCCAGTCATGTTTTCTTCCAGAAATAATAGACCAATAATTGCATTTCTAAGATTACCAGCCCAAACATTCACTTTTTGTGACTGTTGTGTATGCCCTTCCCGAAAAATATGTGGGTTTTCATCACTTCAATAGCGACAAATTTGTCTATTAACATTGCTGTTGAAGAATCTGTGTTTTATAAGAATGAAATTAATGCATTTTTAATGCTTTTCTTACAGTCTCGCGTGACATTCCCGTCTGTTCTAATATTGATCGGAAGGAGCTCGTGGGCTCTGCAGCAAATGTTCCCAAAACTTTAATTTGAACTGCTTCATTTAGTACTCTCCCAACTAGCAATTTTTAATTTCATAATGGTTGTGAAAACGTTTTGGAGAAACA